CGCATCCAGAAACAATTTATTTGGTGTACGGAGTCAATCCTATTCAGAAGCCAATACTGTTATTGTTGTCCTACTTTCTGTCACTTCAGAGGAAAGTTAATAGCAACTTCAGTCCTGGTATTTAGAAATCTTATTTTTATATTTAACAAAAGCTAAAGGAACCCTCTCTCTAGGAAAGTGGAAACTACAGATTTTCACCCTACTCCTTAGTCTCCTTATCACTTTTGTTTTCTTTGTTCTCTCACTGTGTCTGTGCTACTGACTCTTTCCACAGAGACTACCAGTTAGACACGCGTACCCACCAGAGGGCCACAGTTCCAGAGAACCACACTTAACTCAACATTAGTATACACTTAACATTGCACATTAACATTTCTCCTTTTCTGTTTGCATTGTTCTACCTTGTTTTTTTTCTTTCTCCTCTCTATCTCTCTTCAAGGTCTGTGTCAGTAAAATCCTAAGTCCTCCCCCCCGCCGCAAAACATGGCTCACCCCAAAGACCCTGTTGGCCACTGGAAGGACCTGGAAACATGGCTGAGCGTTGTAACAGGCAGTCTCCTCCCTAAAGCTGCCGAAACACTGCAGCCCCTGACGCAAAACCAATTGGATGAGAACATAGACAGCATCATGAAGCAAGACCCAAGTCAAAGCTTTAACCACAAGGAGCTGGCCAAAATCACTGGTACTTTGAGTCACACACTCATAGCCACCCTCAAATTGAGTGACAGACACGCCTCCCAACTCCAACACAAGCTGACACGCCTGCAAGCCCGCACCGAGCAGCTAGAGCTAGAGGCTCAGGAACGTCTGGAACAACCAAATGAGGTGGATGAAGGTACCAAAGAGGAGATCAACAAACTACAAGAAGCCCTAACAGCCATCACAGAACAAAGAGAACAAGCCAGAGCAGACCACGCTGACGTCGCTAACAAGCTAGATTACGCTGAACAGCTACTGAAGGAAGCGAAGGTGGACTTAAGAGACAAGAAGGCCAGAATCAAAGCCCTTGAAACTCACCTGAGCGAAGCAAGACATGAGATCGACAGACTAATGCAGGAAGTGGATGACATCAAAGAGGAGTCCGCCAGTGAACTCAGGCATGCCTATGCACTGCGCTATGAACCTCCAAAGACAAGATGTGCACCAGCCTCGCCCCTGCCAAGCAGGACAGGATCCCCTGTTCCTGAGCTCTCACCTATTGAAAGAGGTGAGAAACCATGCCGAAGATCTTCGCCAACACCTTCTGAAGAGCCTTACCTTACCCCACAGCGACGAGAGCCTGTGATAGCCAGTCACAGATCGTCATACAGTCTGGACCTTAAAGACCTTGACAAGCTGGCCAGAAACATTGGCAAGTTTACTCCAAGTGTGTCAGGTGGTTTGGAGGTCCACGCTTATTTGCAAGACATTGATTTCCACCTGGAAATAAGACCCAATGTCTCTGAAAAAGAAAGACTGTATTTGCTTCGAGCCACATCCAGCCCTGAGGTGCGCAGCTTCCTGGACCGACAACCGGCTCGGGTAAAGAATGATTACCGCTTGCTCCAAGAAGCCCTCATCAGAGAGTTTGCAAACCCTGAATCAGATCAAGGACTGTTAAGTGCTCTGGAGACAAAACAAGCTCGCAATGAGTCCCCACATGCTTACTACAACCGACTCAGGCAAGCCTTTTTCGGAACTCGCAACGAACCGAATATGGAAGAAGACCTGAACTTTAAGATTCTCTTCCTGAGAAACCTCCATCCTGCAGTAAGCCAACATCTCGGAGTACTCGCATGCCCACGAACAATGAGCATCCAGCAATTGCGAGATTTGACACAGAAAGCCCACAACAAACAAAAGATGGTGTTAGAGAAAAACACTAAAACTGCAACAGTTTTTGACTTTAACGCCCATCCAGAACTGGCACTAGAAGGTGCCCAACGCTCAAACAGCGTGAGACCACCATCCCCAGCGTGGAATGCGTCTTCGTCCAATAGACAACGGAACTCCTATGATGACACAAGACCTAAACAAAGGAACAGTCACTGGCATGGACCGCATGGACAACGACGCTCACCTGAACACCACCGGGAAAGAAACCAATGGGGGTCAAACAAAAGCTGGTCACCATCTAAGGGAAGACATCAAAACCCTGGATCATCAAGTCCAAGGAGTCAACGAAGGTACTCCAAAAACTTCCACCCTGACAACGCTCAGACTCAATCCCAGCAAGAGAAAAATGCCCCACCGGGATTTAACCCTCAAGAACTGGTGAAATTGATGATGAAAGAGTTTCTCAAATGCATAGAGGAGGACAGGAAACGGGAAAAGGAAAAAGCAGATTCAGCCTGACTAGTTGCCGAGCGGAGAAGCAACAACCACCTGAACCAACAAACACTTGCAGGTGAAAGCCCTCAGGCTCCCAAAAGTGCAGTTCGGGTCGTCTGCCACTCCTCCGACAAACCTCAGTTCAGTCCTGAAACCCTTCCTGACCCATGCCAAACTCCGCTACCTCCGTTACTGGATGAACATTTGACTGCTCCATCATCATTGAACAACAAATGGGGGAGGACCACAACTTGACACAGATCAACTGTTCTACCCTCTTCACACTAACATAACCTTTGACATTCTAGGGAAACACCTAGTTAAACACAACACTAATACTTTCTCCTCTACAGCACTGCTAGAGCAACTTCTAGTAGCGAGGATCCACTCCACATTTGCAACACTGTTTTGCTGGTTTTTAACCTACCTTGTTTTGTTGCATCACTGTGCCTCTTCATTTCCTTTCTCTCTCTCTCCCTAACTAATTTGCAGTTCCAGTCCCCTCGACAGGGAACTCCTGCAAATTCATGCACAGGGCCTAAAAGTAGGATTGACTCCTTCTCCCAAATTAGTGTCAATTGCTGCAGAATTATTGCTTATTTAAGTTGAAGCTAGCGCCACTCCATACTTGCAATGAAGTAAACTAGCTAAATAACTAAATTTGAATTATTTCAGGCAATGTTACACTACACCTTGTGTTCTTGACCCGAACAATTTAAGCTAAAACCTGCACCAGAACTCAGTCTATGGAATGGAAATGTGGTTTGTGTCTTGTGTGTCTGTTCTCTCTCTACCTATGCCTCTTGTTCCAGTGTCTGCCGATGTTCATGCCAGGAACATCACCATCCAAATGGGGGATGTGGGGAGTCAACGGATCGTTCCAGAACCGAACAAGCCACAGACCATGTTATCCTTAAAAGATTGGTTGGTGCCTAAATGTCTGAGCTTTGATTTCATTTTCAAAGCAATCCACAGGCACCCAGCAAAAGGCAATCCACAGGACGACTATCCAGTCAACATCACAGTTGCGTGTTAATTAACTTTACACCTTAAAACAATAAGAGGCTCTACAATCAAAAACCCACCAAACCGGTTTTTGAGAAGTACCTTTTGGTTTGCGTGTCCTTTGGCGTCTGCAAGGAATACACATTCTCAGGCAGACACAGAAGCGATCAGAAACGCTTGCAAAGTTTAATGGACATACAGTAAAACTGTGTTTATTTGAGTAATGTATGTTTGCTTTATGTTTCTGTAGATTTTTGTGTGTACATGTTCCATGTGTTAAACAAAACTGTTATGGATAGTTAATGAGTAATAGCCCTTAGTGATAAATGAAATCTACAGAATGTTTGTGAAATACTTCATGTTTGGTATCGATTGAAAGCTAGGAACATTTCATATGCATTGGTTTATATGAAGAAACTATACTATGAAAAGTGTCGACGTTATAAGACTTTATTTTAACCACTATGCTATCAAAGCAGCACCCACACCAGGTGTCAACCCGGCCTTCTAGAGGGCAGAATTGGGGTGTGACTCCACCCCGCACCTTCTCTGATTGGACAAGTGTTGTGTAGACCCAGCCTCTACCAAAGCCTATAAAACTTTGAACAAAGGAATTTCATCGTCGTCTTTTGCCGGTCATCTTTGCCAGTCGTCACCGCCGTCGCTGCCCGGACGTCGCTCTTCTCGTGCTGTGGCCGTTACATCGCCTCGCCGGAAGCCTCGTTACATCACGGAGCAGACCGCGACCTTCACTTGCTGCCGGCTCGACCCCCGATCTGCTTGTGCAACCGCTTCAACTAAGGAACCCCCTCTTCACCGACAAGGGAATTCCATCACGTCACTGAAGTTGCTACGCTGACCAATCAGCTTCGCCGGGATTTCCCTTTGGACCAGTCGAGGAAACCAAAAATTACATCAGAACGCAAGTAGCACAAACAAGGTTTCTACCCATTACTGAATCTGGTGTGAATTATGTTTAAGTAGTAAAGAATAGCAAAATTCTCTGCTTTTATGGTTTCTCTCAGGTTGCAATGCCAAGAACTTAGCAAAGGCTAGAAGTTAAATCCACTCAGCCAAAACTCTCCTGAAACTGCTTGTGCGTGTGTGTATGTATGTGCGTTTGTTTGTTTTACGTAGATTAGTACTTTGTGTTATAGAGTAGCAATAAACTTTTGTTTCGTTTTAAGATCCGTGTTGGTGTGTTGTGTGCTTTATAAGTTAATGCCTCAGCTTCAGATACTGCTACCTTGCTTATTAAATAATTAGATACTGTTTTTATATTGTTATTGTTGGCCACATAATAATATAATACAGGATTGCTTTACACTAAACGTTCTATTTGCTGGACAAATACTTAAGTTAAGTGTAAGCTTTAAATAATTCTATGTGAATCATGTTCGAATCTTTGATTCGAATCCCCAAAGTTTAAACATGATTTAAACCAAAGAGCTGATTCTTACACTATTGATGTCTATAGTGGATGAGAGAGCTCTTGTATTTCATCTAAAGGTTTCAGATGATTTGAATGACATAAGGAAAGAGTATTTTTGTGGTGATTTAACTCTGTATGCCATGTTTACTTTTTAAAATAAGATTTTGAAAACACGCTTCTTTTCATCCCAAATATTCAATGTTTTTATAAAATTATGTGCTGACCTTTTATTTGAATTGGTTTGTGTACTTACCACATACTTGGAGTTTGTCTCATGCACAACACTGGCGTCAGTCACCTCAAAAATTAGTTTTTCAGGAACGCATCGAGCTCTTGAGTTTCGCCAGTTCTCTTGCAGTTGTCTGGTGAGCATGTTTGAGGACTTTGGAGAAGGACCTATGGGGCTGGTCTCTACAAACCAAAGACAAAATGAACTGCAAGTGAGAAGTTTCAAGTGAAATAAAAATTAACCAAAAAGAAGAAGTGAAATCTATCTGCAAATAGATTTTTGTAAATAAGAACACATTAAACACTATATCAAGTATGATAAAGCTGAAAGTGAGCTTATCCCAAATTGTTTAATGTACTAAAATGAATTTGTAAAGATAGAGCTTAGTTCAGTTTGATTTTATTCAACTTCTGCACTATGGCAGTCATCTAAATTCATGCAACAGATTTGTAAACAGAAACATCTACATAATTAATGCTCTGAAGTATCATTCATATTTAGATGAATGATACGTCTTTAGAAAAATTCTTTAGAATAATACTACTTTAGAAAAAAAAGAAAAGCAACTCCATGTGCTGCTATATAAGGTGTCTGCTGTATTGGAACACTTAAAAGCAAGTAGGCAATGCATTCATATGTATATATCTGCAATAGACTTCAGCCAGCAAATCTTAAACAATACAATAAAATGATGTCATTAGCTCACATAACCAAGTCATAACAACCTATAAAACTGAGTTATTGGTAGGGCTGTTCATTTAAAGTGTTTAAATTAGTTAGTTTTGCAAATAAAAAAAAACTAAATTGAAGTGTTAACATTTTAAAATCACCAAAAGGAGGCTGGATGGGATGGGCAGGGCGAGGTGGTGTATGGTTCATGTATTCAACTGTTTTGGACCTTCTGTTCTGTGCTTGTGTTTACCAAATGGCTCTGATTTCAATCCTTTTTTACATGCAGATCAAATATACTACAAAACTAAGTTGTTACATGAACATATTATGTGGTGGATAATCTAAAATTTATTTTAAAATGGCAAAAATATTAAGCAATAATCCCAGTTTTTAGAATTGTTGTGCATCATATTACACAGAAGACTGAGGTAATAATGCTGAACATTCAACTTTAAAAATCACGGGTGTATGATAAGGCCCAAGGTTTTAAAACTGACACATTTTTTCTGTAATAACGTTCCTAAGGTATGTGTAAAATTTTTTTATTTACAGTTTTGTTTTGTTTTTAAGACAACAGTATATCCAGCAGAACAATTACATCTAAAGATGCCGTTTTAAATTTGTTTTAAATTAAAAAAAAATATTACAAATTTAAGAAATCTGTGTTTTTGAAACAAATGAAAACAGTAGAATGACTCATTTGACTTATTTAGCCCGACAGGTTTACAGAAAAATATTAATATTACAAAATATTATAAATCTTAAAAAAAAAAAATATATATATATATATATATATATTCTTTTCAAAGGGAAAAAAAAGTTTTAGTTTTTTTACCCAGATATTTAAAAAGAATATATGTTGGAGCAGTGAGCAAAACCATGATACTGTAAAACCGTGACATTTTTATCCAAGGTTATCATACCATTAGAATCCTACACCGGCCCATGCCTAATAATAATTAAAAACTTAATACGAAAATATGAAATAAAAAAATAATACCTTTCAAACTTTTGTTGAATGTTTTCAAAGCAAATCCTTTTAGATCAACTTATATGGTTAACAAAGCAAGTCTATCATATATCTACCAAAAGGCAGAAAATAGTACTTTACAAACTGTATTGTAAATAAATCATAAGAACATTTTCATATTAGTCAATAATATCATTTAAAAACTGAGTAAATAAATGGACTCAATGATGGGCTAAAAATCTGCGAAATCTGCTGATTTCTGTGCATGCAGATTCCTTGTGGGTCTAATCATGACTAATCAATACAGTTGCAGGTCTGTCAAAGACATGTATTATCAATTTTTAGTTTTTTTTTTTTTTTTTCAAACAGATGTTTTATCATAGACTACACTGTAAAAAATGCTTGGTTCCACTCAATCAATTTGTGTTGGGAAATGAAGAAATTAGGTTATCTTATTAGTTTTAACAAATTTAAGTGAATTGAACATAAAACAATTAAATTTTCCCCTCCAAAAAAACTCAATAATTGTTATTTCAGCTTATTTCAAATAAGTAGCAAATTAAATTTTTGAGTGTACCTGTGCTGCTACAAGCATTATCGATGGACTCTCCAAAAAAGTCAGAGTCGCTGTCTGGCCCTGACACGTCCCCAGCGTCCTCTGAGTCCAAGACCCCATCAGCCTCAAAGCACAGTGTTCCTCCAAGCCTGGCCGACACACAGTCTATATCATCCTCAAGTTCAGAAGACTCTGGAAAATCGTCCGTGCCCTGACCGTCCGACTCAGAAGAAAGTTCTCCCTCTTTAAACAGAGTACGCCGAAGTCTGTCGAATAGTTTAGAGGCCATCCCAGCTTTTCTCCAACCCTGAAGAGCACAAAACACACATGATCCCACCGCCACCTTGAGGAGCATTCCTGAATATAATTATTAGTATCGTTCATATCATGACATTTACTTATGGCTTTTAAAGTCCTGTAAAACTACTGACTGAGGGCAGTAATGGAAATGCTGTAACTTCAAACCTCTGGTTGACTTTCATTGAGCTGTGAAACGAGAGTGCAACCAAAATATTTATTATTTATCGAGGGGTTTGGCGAAAAGAGCCTCACAATAGCATTGGATTTCTGTTATTTCCATGGAAGAGCAAGTAAAAACAGATGTCCTCGCTAGTGTTTATCGTTGCAAGCATTTTAACTGGGTTACTCAGGGTATTATTAAAGAAACAGTTCACACAAAACTGAAAACTCTGTCATCATTTACTCAAACTTTCAACAACTCTTAAAGAGTTTCTTTTTTTCTGTTGAGCACAAAAAGAAGTTATTTTGAAAAAAATGTTCCAAAGACTTTTATTATTATATATTTTTATTTGCTTTTGCAAAAGTTAAGAGTACAGAACATCAAAACTAAGCAACAAAAAAATTTAAGTAAATTATACACATTAGGGCTTGCACGATATTGGAAAAATCTGACACTGCGATAGATAGATTTGCTGCGATATACACACACAGACACACATACATATACACACACAGCGTGCGTTTAGCTTTAAACTGCTTTTTGCAGTTAATATCCACTGCTGTATGAATAATCATTGTTAATGTACAAAGTAAACCTATGTTAGGATATGTCAATGTACAAACAGTGAATTAACCATACAATATGTCAAAGATGCCATAAGGATGAAATATGCCTTGTGTAAAGCTCACGTATGTCTCAGATAAAAAGAAGAGATAATTATAGGAAAACAATAAGCTAATTATGCTTCAGCCCACTCCATTTCTACCATGATGAAATGTATTTTGTTCAAAAGAATTGCTTTTTGTATGATTTTATTTTTAGAAAACATCAGCAAGCAAATCAAGACACAAAATAGTGTAACTCCATTCTGTTATAAATGAGATTGTTTTTACTGTAACAAGTTCATTATAAAATGTAATATAATAAAAATATACTGTATTAGTTAAAATAAAGCACCGTTTTCTAGTTTTTTTAAATAAATTAGAAAATTACACATGCCAAATATATTTATATTTGGTACCACTTGCCTCATTCAAGTTTGGTTTTTGGCCTTTCATAAAAAATAGTTTAGGAATCCCTGATTTAGTGCAATATCTTTGTACACCTTGTGAGCCTTTGACATGTGGAATGCTGAGTGAAGACCCACAGAAACTCTGAATGAACATATTACGCAGGGTTTCACATTCACTGGACATTTTCAGTTTCAAGCGTGTCCTCGTAACTCCCACAAGCACATTACATTCATCACCGTTTCGTTATTCAGACATGAAGAAACTTGTGAAAACTCCAGAAAGGAGAGGACGGTCTGTGAATCTCTTTACGTTAGCTTGCTAACTAACGTGCTAATCAGCGCTGAATCAGCAGCAATTACAAATAACATCGTAATAAGAAGAAATCTGGCTGTAAATATTTACATTTATTTCTTAAAACGACCAAAACATTGTATGAGAAGTGATAAAAATAGTCAAGCACAAAGTGTAAGGCTTACTTAGAACTTTTCTTGCTAACTGTGGCTAATATAACATTTATAACGTAACTTTAAAACTGATAGACAAACATTAAAATGTACGAATATTTAGACTTACCAGAATTGCAGACCTCTAAACTACTTAAAATCAGCTCGTCATGTTGCAGGATACCTCATTTTCTTGTGCTAAAGACGAATAAGAGTGATGTAAACAGACGAGTACTTGTTAACAAGTGGGCGGACACGCGCTTCACAACGACAAACACATATGCGTATTACTAAAGTAGGCTACACATTTTACTAACTCTACATTTTATGATATATTTTTATATTCAACTTGTGCACTATAAATTTGTGCGTTGATCTCTGGATTGTTTAGTTTATCCTGACAGTCGCATATTTTAAATAGTTTTAGTAATAAACTGTTTAATGTGCACCGCTAAGATTATATAATTGTATCATAATCTAAAGCAATTTTTACGTTAAAAGCATCTTACATATTAATCTTTAGCAAGGGGATTATGTAACCTGCAAAAACAATAAATAATAAATACATAAATAAATAAATAATAAATAAATAAGTGAGTAAATAAATCCATAAATCCCTGCGTGTATAAAACAATAAATAAATATGCAAATAAATGTATATAAAATCTACAAATTCCTGCAAAAATAAATACATAATTAATAGTGTGGGCTGCACTCATACATATATATACACTGCAAAAAAAGTCTGTAATTTTACGATTTATTTTTGGAAAACTAACGGTAATTAAAATACAGAAATTTACCTAAAGTAAAGAGCATTAAATGACAGAAATTAAGTTTAATTTAAATAAATAAAATAATCAATACATAAATAAAAATAAATATGCAAATAAATGTATATAAAAATCCACAAATTCCTGCATGAATAAATATAGAAATAATGAATAGTGTGGGCTGGTAAATATTTAAATAAATTACATGAATGTTAGGGGAATAAGAAAATGCTAAACTAAAGGTTTATTTTACCCCGTTTTAATTGTTTATTCATTCATTCTTATTGGCATGTTGACCTGAGGAAAAGTAACTACGAAACTATGTTCAAGAAATTAATAAACGTTTGAAGAGAGGGAAATAAACTTTCACTTTCCCCCAACATTTGTGTAATTTTATATACATTTTACATACTTTAATTTTTTTCTTTGCATATTTATTTATTTAAGGTTTTATTGATTTTTTACTCATTTATTTATATATTTGAGTATTTATTTATTTGTTGTTTTTGCCAAGTGTTGTCCTCCACATTAGTTGATCGTTAGAAAATGTTGCAATAATTTTTTTGACTGGGTTCTGGTAATTGACAGCCTCTCCTAAGGACGTTGAGCTGAGGAAATTAAAATTAATAAATGTTAAAAAGGTGGAAAAAAATTACTTTCAATTTAGCATTTTCTTATTCCATCAACATTCTGTAATTTATTTAATAATTTTTCTGCCCGCACAATAATTATTTATTTATGTATGCAGGGATTTGTGGATTTTATATATACATAATTTATTTATTTGCATATTTATTTATTTATTTATTGTTTTATTTATGCATAGATTTATTTACTCATTCATTTATATTTTTGTGTATTTATTTATTTATTTATTGTTTTTGCAGGTTTCCTCGTCTAGGAATCATTACAATTAACAATTTAATTTAATTGCATTGCACTTTGAAATGTTTTAGGAAAATTAAGAAAGTGGGAGTTTTATTTTATTTCTTGCAATTAATCTCCAGTTTGACAGATGGCGCTGGACGCAGCTCATGTCATCGCTTCAAGCGCAGAGGAAGAAAATCGACAAAACGCGGGTTAAAACATCACAACAACAATCTTCACAGCGAGTTTGATTTATGTAAAGTAATGGCATCCAAGAAGCCCTTAAATATACGTAAAGTTGAGAAAACGGCGTCAAGTGACTCAAAAAAGTAAGCGTCCATACATTAATTTATGTCATCAGTCCGTTATGTAACGTTATCCTGTTTAATGTATATAAAGTGTCTTGTTTACTTATTTGTGTTATCTTATATTGTGTATTATTATCAATTGTGAAACACATTTTTGGTCTTGCAAAATTAAATACTTTAAAATGAATCAAAATATATCAAAACAAAAAAAATGCAAATAATTTATGTTGATATAGTCATGGCAAAATTGTACAGCTTTTATTACTATAAGTTAGTATTTCTTATTAACTGTAATAACTAAAGAAATAACAAACCGTTTTTTGTTGTTTTCCCTAATCGAAATTGTGATTTTAGTGTTAATAAAACAAACATGCATGGTCAACCATTTATGTTAATCATGGTTAACACATTGTACACTAACCATAGTTTAACCATGGCATTTGTTGTAAAACAAATGTGGTAATACAAATGATAATTAATGTGCTTTCAAACATGGTTAGTACACTTATACTATAATAAACCATGGACAAATGACCTCACATCAGTGTTAATTTAATTTAATTGATAATTCTCGCATATCAGTTATGATTTATGCAGATTTTCAGACAGCCTCTATTTTTCAGCTTATCCACTGAAAATGAAGCCAGCAACGGAAATAACAGTGGTGCAAGGAGGAAAACCAAAAGTAAGAGCTTGACCTTTAACATTTATTAACTCTTCAGTGTTATACTGACAGCCATATCAGATTTATTTTATTTGTTTTTCGCTTCAGCTACAGTTGTAAAATCCAGATACATGCAAACTGAAACAAAGGCTCCTGTCAAGGTAAATAACCATAGAATAACTTGAAAAAGCTGTGCATTCATTATTTCTCCTCAGTAATGATGTCTTTTGATATCTTTATTGCTGGATTTCTTTTTAGGGGTTTTATAATAATGCTTAAAATAATATCATATGTGCTGCAGAGTGTTTTACAGCAGCAGTCAACACTGAAGCCACCCAAACCTTCTTCTCCCAGAGTAAACAACACACGAAAGACAAAAGATAGCGTACTATCCAGACGTACAATGGGCATAGATTCTACCTGTGAGTGTTTGGTGTACTTTTTAGATTTTGGACATTATATATTGCATTTCTGCATCTATAGGATGTTTAACAATACGATTTTTCTATCTTGTTTTCACTCAGTGGTTTCCAGTCTCCTGGAATCCTCCAATTTGGGAGGAAGTGTCTTTCAGTCCACTGTTTTGGATGGCCACTGCATACGTCCAGATTTTGATGTCTCTGTCATTAAAGGTGTGGTACTTGTCTAGTCTGTATTGTGATATAAAATTAATATTTAACATATGCTCACTGTTATGGAACAAAATCAATGCCAAAAGTATTGAATTAAAAAGATTGTTGAAAAACACCAACTGAAAAAATAATAAGTGCTTGCATTTTAATGACTTTAATTCCAGGGTTTGTATTTTTGGGTCCTGCAATTTAACATATCTGTTTATTTAAGTTGTGAATATTTCAACGAAAAATATTTCAAACACGTTTTCATACTTATAAATTCAATAATTCATATTCAGTATACAGATTTCACTTACAAAATATTCAATCCCCTTGAAAAATACGATGTATAATATTCAAAAGGCAATTTTCAGTTAACTTTATTTCAGTTTAAATATTTGCTTCCATAAATTCAGTGGTTCAAATTCGACTGTTAAAATTCAACATTACATTTGGGACTGCAGGAAAAGCAATAGATTGTTTAATAGCAGGTGGAGATGGAATAATTTAAGATTTTTAACCCAGTAAATAGGCAAGAAATAAGCTAATAAAGGCACAAAAGTAGCATTTAATATTAATATCAATGTCTTGGCCATTATAAGTAATAAAAGGCGTATGAGTAAAATGAGTAAATTATGTTTTGGTCATCTATATTTGCCCTTATGTAATGGAAGCCAGCTGGTGATTGCATAAACCTCACTCCTCTGATCCAGCGATAGACGTTGTTCTGCAATCTTTAGCCTCCTCGCCGGCTCGTGCCTTGCTCAGACCGGTGGGGCTACATTCACATAAACCGTCTTTTGACAAATATGATGTTTCACATTCTCTATCTTTAATAACTTTTTCTTCCATAGACGTAAAGTATTATATTGACAGCTAAAGAATATAAACGTAAGAGAAACAGCAGAGGAAATATTATAATAATACAAAATAGGTAAACATAATTGCCAGGGCTAAGAACAATTAAGAACAAAGATATGTAAAACCAGAGAGATTTTATGAGAATTTCACACAAAACAGTTTATTTGGACATGGCTATGATTTAAGGTTGGGCATCGATAAGATGATGGGACGTAATTTAAAATAATTCAACAAAACGTGCTGATGCATTAAAGGTGCAACTGTCAGTTATTCATACAGAACCATCTAATAAATGGCATAACAAACTATAAGAGTTTATTAGACTATGAAGTGTTTGCGCTGTTTAAATGCAGCTATGTCAGGATTGGCATAGGCTATATATTTTCATTATTGTCTCAGCCAATTATAAGTAACAAAATGAGTGGCCTGTGGTTTGATTATAGGCTATCATAACTGACTTTAATTTGTTTTCCGTATAAAATAAGAAAACCCTTATTTGAAAAGTTTTTACAGTACTCTTAATTACTTTTCAACTACCGTTTGTATTTTATAATTACAAATGTTGATCTTTTTTGCAGTTATTAAACATCTAAACTTAAATTAAACTGGTTTAAATTTAATATTGTTGTCGCTTCAGCTAATTTCATAAGATTAATGTTTAGAATGCGTGGTTTGACATGCGTGGTTCCTGCAAAGCAGCTTAGTGTTCATGGGGTTATTACTGAGCTATAATCGCCATCTACTGGCAGAGAATGAATTTGCTAATTTTTTCTATCAACTCAATTCTACAAGTGTGATTTATGATTTTTACAAAGTAAAGCCATTATGTTTTTATTTTATATATTTGAGATGATCATATTTAAATAAACAATTGCTAATGGTAGCTAATATTGTCTTTTTTCTTGTTTAAAAAAAATGAGTATAAAATCTGCATTTTTTCTTTCTATGACAAAGTCAATGGTTTAGGATTTTGGATGCATTATTGCTAAATGAGTGTTGGATACTCAAAATATAAGCTTACAATAGTTAAATCAATTACTAGACTATATTATCAGAAATGACAGATGTAAAAAGCCATTAATGTTCATCATTCTTTTTACAATTATACAAGCAACATTTTGCAACGACAGCTACACTTTCAGAAACAGTAAACAGCGAGGTGTTATTCACATACAGTAGTCTCAAGCATGAAATATGTCATGATTTATATAATAATGGCAACACTCTTGTATTCTTATGCTTGGCCATTATGGCATAGAGTAATGTCACGGCTTTCACTTTTCACATTCATAATTATGCACAAGCCCACATATCATCTGAAACTTCGGAAGAATTCCTATCATATAATGGCAGCCATCCAGCATCTCTTAACCAGTTTGACGTGCAGTGCTGACTCTGACCGGCCACCAGAGCTTGCGGCCACTCCATTCGCCTTTGTCACGTGCAAGCCGCACAGTACTAGTATAAAAACACCAATCATTTCATTCATTCATTCATTCATTCATTCATTCATTCATCAATTCTCAATATAATACTTTACCTCTCTGGAAGAAAGAGTTATTAAAGAAAGAGAATGTGTAACATCATGTTTGTCAAAAGACAGTTTATGTGAATGTAACCCCACCAGTCCGAGCAGGGCACGAGCCGGCGAGGAGGCTAAAGAATGCATAACTATCGCTGGATCAGAGGAGTGAGGTTTATACGATCACCAGCTAGCTTCCGTTACATAAGGGCAAATATAGACGACCAAAACATCATTTACTTATTTTTCTCACTCTTCTTTTATTACTTTTAATGGCCAAGACATTGATATTAATATTCAATGCAACTTTTGTCCCTTTATCAGTTTTTTTCTTGCCTATTTACTGGGTTAAAAATCTCAAATTATTTAATCTCCACCTGCTGGTAATAGAGCAGCTGGCGATCTTCAATCTGCAATCTATTGCTTTTTCTGCAGTTCCTGGATGTAATGTTGAATTTTAACAGTCGAATTTGAACCACTGAATTTATGGAAGCGAATATTTGAACTTAATTAAAATTAACTGAAAATTGCCTTTTGAATATTATACATCGTATTTTTAAAGAGTATTGAATATTTCTTAAGTGAAATCTGTAAATTGAATATGAATTATTGAATTCATAAGTATGAAAATGTGTTTGAAATATTTTTCGTTGAAATATTCACAGCTTAAATAAACAGATATGTTAAATTGCAGGACCTAAAAATACAAACCCTGGAATTCAAGTCATTAAAATGCAAGCACTTGTTAATTCGGTGTATTATTTTTTTCAGTTTGTGTTATTCAACAATATTTTTAATTCAATACTTTTGGCATTGATTTTGTTCACACTGAATCACACTGAACTGAGCTAAACTGAACTGAACTTAAACACTAAAACCTGAACTACACTGTCTGTGTTTTGCAGATAAAGTTCCACCACCGAGCACAGCGGACCCCAAGAATGAAGATCGGGACATTGGGATGGAGACATTTTTATTGGCCTTTATCACTGCTAATGTATGATTATTATTTATTTTTAAAACTCTTTATTTTCATTTTCATTGAAAAAATCTTCATACATACAGTACCGCCTAAATCAGTGGTGTCTAAACTCGGTCCTGGAGGGCCGGTGTCCTTCATATTTTAGTTCCAACCCCAATTCAGCACACCTGAACCAGCTAATCAAGCTCTTTCTAGGTATACTAGACTTCCAGGTAGGTGTGTTGGAGGAAGTTTGAGCTAAACTATGCAGGACACCGGCCCTAAAGGAGCGAGTTTAGACACCACTGGCCTAAATCCTTACAAGAAAGAAATGGACCATATATCAGAATTCTCTTGGAAGTACTCATAGTGAACTCTATCTCACACCCCACCAATCTAATATTGATCAAAGGATGAGGAATAACATTTACAATCATAATTTGGAACGGCCTGGGACAAAAATAAAAAATTTAAGCAAGGTGTACATGGACAATGAAACCATAAGAGACATAAAATAATTATAAGATATTTATAAAATAATGAAATTATAGCATAGCTATTGAAAATGAGAAGACTTTTATTGTTAAAATTCATCGATCAGATGTCACATTTTTATCACGCTAAATTTACATATAAAATTTACCTATAAATATTTAATGTTGTTTAGGTATTAATTAAGGTTGATTATTATATATTGGTATTTATTTTGTTCTGATATTTAAGGTTTTATAACATGGGATATTTTACATTGACTTACTATAATTTTCTCCAAAATAAGTGCACTTGTGAACACAAAATGTTCTTATTTGGAACTTTTCTGAAACAATTAATAGTTAATATGTTTGAAGTGCTGCCTTAATTTTTTTATTGAGCTGCTTTTTTATAATTATGTAGATTAATGTACTCACAAATATATATCCTGTCATAACAAACATTTTATATGTGATATTGGACCAGAAAGGTAAGCCACAGTGCGATCTGGAAAATTCTAATCAATAATAAATGATAAACCTTATAAAGATGTTGGTCAGTTGTATGCTTTTGTTGATCTCATCTGGTCAAATTAATTCAACTTAGTTATTAATGTTCATTTTTAAACCACATTACCTATAACGTTGTGCAGAAATGTCCACCAATAAAAGAGTCACAGCAAGCAAAAATCAGCTTAAAATTATGTTATCAAATTCTCACCTCAAGTTATGTTATCAGGTTTCCTTACATTCTAACAATACTCTAAAATTTTCTGAAATAATTGTTTCATCTTCTTTAATTAGATGGTGTCAATTGCATTGCCCCATAGAATTGTAATTCTTTCTTCTCAATTAACTCTTGTGTACTGTTCAAATTGACTATACTTTTATTATGTTTGTGGGTGTTTTTGTCCCATTGACTTTTATTATAACATTTTTTAATTGCAAAGCCTTGACACCATGTAATTAAGCATTCTTGATTATTGATGTTTTTCCCTGTTGAGAAGAGGTAAAACTTTGCATTTTTACTGTTGATCATAAGTTAGCAACATTAACCTTGTGCAAAACAGATTCTGACTTTTATATGCAGTTCCATGGATTAAAACGGCAAATTATAGAATGCATGCATAATTACTCTTACTATGTTTACTATGGCCTGATAGCTGAGCTGCTTAATTTTATTTACTCATACATATCAAGGTAGGTGCGCAAAGATCCCTCTCATACACTCACACACAACATAAAAAACATATAATTTTTATTCGGAAACAAAGCTTTTTTTTGCACTGCAACTAATCATCAACGAAAAAAGTTTTTAACCTTTTTCACAACCAGAAAACCACCAATCTAGAATGAATGATTATATGGTGTCATGGCTGTGCAATCAAAAAATGTCATTATAATGGATTTCAATGGGGCAAAAACAGCCACCAACATAACGAAAGAGTAGTAAATTTACCCAGAGTGTATTGTTGAATTATTGAAAAAATAATTTTCCCAAAATATGTGTCAAAATCAGGTTTGTCACCAAAAATCATTTAATTTGCTGAAACAGAAAGTTGTGACCAAATTAAGACTCAAAATCATCCCAGAGTGGATGAAAACATCCTTAACAGCAGACAAGGATTGAGATGTTAAGTTTGTTCGTTTCAGTGTGTTTCCGTCCTAGTACTATATTTTGTGCTGAAAATTCATATTTAAAGCTGTCAGTTGTTCATGTTTTTTGTTTCATTGTCTAGATGGAGCATAGTAACCGGAAACTGAGAGAGGAGGCAGAGAAGAATATTCTGACCGTGATGCAGAAAGAGCAGCAGCAACACACAGAAGTAAACCCCAAGAAGCGTCAGTATCTGCTGCTGCAAAAGCAGAAAGAGCTCAACAGTTTACTGGACTTACAGGTCATTTTCAAATATTTAACATGTTCTTAAAGGAATAGTTCACCCAAGAATATAAATGTATCCTGGCTCTTCAATAATTTTGTCGGTGGTACAGAATGTCCGCAGGGTCTTAAAAAGTGTTAAAAATTGATGAATCAATTGAGAGAACTTTAAGGCACTTAAAAAGTTTCAAAAAGTCTCAAATGCTTTTTTACAAGGTATTACATTTTATATCAGTATGCTAAAGTTGACTGAATTTAATCTGCGACTATTAAGATGTTGTGTAGTTTATGAAATCAAAAAATCCTGCTGGATTTGACATCACACTGCTTTGTTTACTGTAAACAAGGCAACACTTTTATTCCTGCTGTTGTAGGCACGACCTCCTGTATTAGCATTTTTATTCATTTAATTGTTCATTTATTTATTTTCTACCGCTTTTCCGGGGCCGGGTCGCGGGGGCAGCAGTCTTAGTAGAGAACCCCAGACCTCCATCTCCCCAGACTCTTCCTCCAGCTCCTCTAGGGGGATCCTGAGACATAGGCCCCTCAGCATGTCCTGGGACTTCCCTGAGGCCTTTTCCTGGTGGGACATGCCTGGAACACTTCCCTAGGTAGGCGTCCAGAAGGCATCTGAAACAGATGCCCGAGCCACCTCAGCTGACTTCTCTCGATGTGGAGCAGCAGCACCTCACTCCTCCCGGGTGTCAGAGCTCCTTACCCTATCCATTACTGTTCGCCCTACCACCCTGCGAAGGAAACTCATTTCGGCTGCTTGTATCCGAGATCTTGTCCTTGCGGTCATGACTATAGGTGACAGTAGGAATGTAGATTGACTGGTAAATCGAAAGCTTTAGGCTCAGCTCCTTCTTTACCACAACGGACCGGTTCATCAACCTCATTACTGCTACCACTGCACAAGTCCGCCTGTCAATCTCACGTTTTATTCTTCCCTTCCTCGTGAACAAAACCCCAGGAAACTTGAACTTCTCCACTTGGGGTAAGGACTTTCCTTCAACCTGGAGATAGCAAACCACCTTTTTCCGGTGGAGCACCATGGCCTCGGACTTAGAGGTGCTGATTCTCATCCCAGCCGCGTCACACTTGGTATATGAATTATGACTTAATTTAGGATTAGTTTCTTACAATCAGTATTTAATAAATGTATTAAGTTAAATTGTCGCCAATGTTACCACTGAGTCCTAAAGTGGCAATGACATCTTAATTTATGGAAAGTATCACTTTCCGATTCCAGTATATACCCTGTGGTAAGTGACACTGCCAAAAGCACATACATTGTAAAAGTAATCCATGCAATGCCAGGGGCTTAAAGCATGTCTTATGAACTGGATCAATGTGTTTTTGTAAAAAAAAAAAAGAACAAAAAAGGATTTGTATTATCATTTTTTAAATATATATATAAACCCCAATTAATAAATGCCCAATACACATTCTCTACAACTTCTTGCTTGACCTGTGTTACCTCACGCGTTCATAGAGTAATCTCCAGTGAGAGTAGACTAACAAGAATAACTGAGTGCAGGTAACTAATCGTTACCAAAAAATGTGTTTATGGGTATTTTTTCGTACAAAATTGCATAAAGGTGCCAACTGATCTGTTTGTTCATCCTCAGAAACAAAAACTGGTGCGTATGCTACCTTTTAGTTTTGACCATTTTCAAGAATTTTGAGCAAAACCATGATAATATTGGCATCTGCGATCATTTTGGTCACTACAATCGTGATATGAAATTTTCATACCATTATCTCTAAAGTACTTCGGGGTCTTAAAAAGCTTTTAAAGTTAAATAATGATAATGATTAATCAATTTAGAGAAATTTAAGGCCCTTAAAAAATATTAGAAAGACTTTAATGCTTTTTTTACAAGGTATTACATTTTATATCAGTATGCTAAAGTTTGTCTGAATTAATAATTTTGGTCACTACAATTGTGATATGAAATTTTCATACCATTAACTCTAAAGTCCTTCATTATGCATCATATATCGAGTCAGAGGTTAGCCAAGACGTTTCAAGAACATCCACTAACCCCCTTGTGGCGAATAGGTCAGTTTTATGACAGATTTATGTACTTTTAAAGGTTCAAAAAAGGTCCTCTACACAACACCATCATACAGCATTGAAGAACCAGAATAAAATGTAAAACTACTACAGATAAAAATCATATACACTAAGAATGTTTGGTCACACTTTATTATGTTGGTCTGTTTGTTACATTGCATTTACATGTCAACTAATTTCCATTAGATTATAAGTAGATTGTTAGGTTGGGGTTGGGTTTAGTTTTAGTTGACATGTACTTGCAAAGTTTCTTATAGTCAGTTAAATGTCTGTTGAAGGAGCAGTATCAACAAATAATAAACAGACCTCCTACTAATACTCAAATGGAACGTCAAAATAAAGTGTTACCGAATGTTTTGAGGTTGAGTTAATTATTGGGTAATAGTAATTTTGGAGTGTATTATTTCTTTGATCTCTTCATGTTAACCCATCTCACCTTGACTGACGACACTATTTATGCAGATTGAGGCTTTAACTCCTGTTGCTGCTGAGGCAAACACATTTGCAGAGGAGTACAAGTCATTCGCCACAGCCATTGATGCCACCAGACACAAGCTTCCTGTGAAAGACGTGCACATTGGAGAGGACGCAGGGCAGTTTTTAGGTGAGGTTTTATTTTAAAAGAATCCTACAGTAATGTAGATATCACTTCATGGTGTAAATCAGTGCAGTTCTGATGTTACCATTTTTTGTTATGGTTATATTAAATATTTGACATGTTTTAATATCAGAAGTTTATAAGGTACAGTATGTAAGTTCATGACTCTTCTAAAGCATAAAAATTCCATAATATGTTTGCAGATATTTAAGAAACATACAAAGTTAACATTCTTGTTTATCTGAAAAACTATGCTGAAGTCAAATATTCTGCTTTGAAAATGTATGTTACGTGCCAGACTATCTGTTTTTATTTTGGTTCTTTTAACCCGGCTACTGCCACTTTAGCCAATTATATTTCAGCACCCCGGGTTACCTTCATGGAAAACAGTGTATTTCATTAATTTAGTCAGGTAGGCTCTTAAAGTTTGCATCTGTGACCAAAATGCTACCTCCGGTGGACAGTAGCAGACTCTAAAATGAGACGCAGATTCAGAGTTTCACATGAGGTTATTAATTAGAAAATAATATAAATATTACAAAGGTAAACATTAGGCGAGCAGGTTACATTGTAATCACAGGTCCTAACAACATGCTTTGTGAAGAGATTTGCAGTGATAAACAATTGGGCTGTTTGCACCAGACGAAACATGACAGAAATTTAAATAGACATTGAGAAGCACAGAATAGTGCACTTACTGCACTCCAACGAAATGGTAACATTATTATATGTACCAGGGGTGATAGCGTTCCGGCACCACGCCGGATTTCCGGCGTACTGTGGCTGCGGGTAGGGTTGTGACGGTGAGGAAATTTCCCCACCGGTTAATCGACATGTGACAACACCGGTAATACCGGTATCACCGTGGGAGTGGGCATTTTTTCATTTCCTCTTTTTTCTGATTTTAAATAGCTTATAAATGCGTGCGTATAATACTTTCACTTTCAGTTTTGCGGGAGTTGCCAATCCGGTGTCAATTGTTTGAATGGACGGAAAGGAAACTACAAAAAAAATCCCTGTTATTAAACAAAACATAACTTTTATTTAGGCCTACATAACGAATAAAACACAACACTGCTACAGGCTGAAAAAACTGTGTAAGTTTGAACCATACAAATAACAACCATAAACGCCTATGTTATATATTAACAGCTTAGTCCTTATGAACAATCCGTTTATAAAATACATTATTAACGAATTTAGGCTATTGAAGAATAAACCGAATATGAAATATGATCCTTGCATAATAATCACAACTAAACAAGCGAGCACTCATTTTATAATTAAACTATATGAAAAAAAATTAAGAATTGAAACATTATGTAAAAAATCAAAGGGCAGGCTAAATAAAAGCGCCTCGTCAGAGCTAAACACCGCATGTGTCAGTTTACAGCTTCTGGAAAGATCAGACAACCTATACAGATCACACAATCTCAATAAACAACATGTAAATGTATAAATATTTCGATAAGTATTGTTATGGAATATTTATAACTAAATGATCTTGCTTTTTGGTTTTATCGATACAGCTTTGATCTCTCTTACAAGCGGCAGTTACAGGCGCAGCATAAGGGCGTCTCACACTGTCAGTGGCGGAATACACACAGCACTGCCAAGACGTTTTATTTTTATTTTATTTGTTGCAGATTTGCACGTTGTTCCTTTAAAAAAAAACTTTTATTTTTTAATTCTCTCAAGTTTAATGTTGTCTATCGAGTAACTATCGAGTCCCTCGGATTGGAGTTCAGTGCGAATTAAGACTATTGACCAACCGCCCTGTAAGTTTAAACACTACAGGTCCACAGCTCTGGTGTGGTATGAATTACACGTTTTAAATGACAGCGAGACATGCTACGTTTAGTTTTTATTGTAAAATATACATTATAACCCAGTACACGGTAAAATAATGTTTAGAATGGCTTGTCTATTGACGGCGTATAGCCGTTAATTAAATATGCTGAGCATATTTTCATTAAAATTAAAACACATTAATACAAATTAGCCACCCTTTGATTTTTTTTCGTTTACGTATATTTTTATCAAACGAAAAATGCAATAAATTGTTAATTTTTGTTTTCATTTTATTCGAAATAATAGGCCTATCATTTATAGGCTACACAACTTATAATGTACACACTGAGTGATTGATATTTGTTAACTTGGTTTGCTCTGAGTCAAAGTTCAGTTTGAAATAGTTTATTTTATTTTTAAGATCTAAGGTGAACTATCTGCTGCTGCTTTCAGTATTTGACAATAAATGTCATGTAAAATGGCATTCAAACTCACATTATTAGCATTTAACACTGAATAAAGCACATAAGGTGTACCAGAGGCGATCCTTGTCAGTTTTCTGTTTTTCAGCTGCAAGAAATAGAAGCAGTTTCTAATATATCAATTCCCTGTGTTGGTTAGGACAAAGGCTTATTTTAGTATGGAAAGTATTCCTTCTACTGCATGCCATTGCTTTCTGTCAATCTGTCTTTTTTTTTTGTCAATCTGCACTTGCGTGGACTCGTAAAAAAAAGATAGGGATGCACGATATATCAGCGGCCGTGTCGTTATCGGCCAATAAATGCAGTTTTTAAGATCATCGTTATCGATCTGATGTCTAAATTAGGCCGATATCTGTAAGCCGATAAATTATGTAATTTTACAGACCTGCCTGCCGCGCTCGCGTGGGCGGATCTTGTTCAGACTTGCCCAGTGCACTGTAATGGCGCTCTCCTCACACTTTTTATTCCTTTAAAGTCCGTCCTTTCTTCATGTGGTATTGCTGTGTGTTTGTAACGAGGAGACTGACACGGAGGGATCCATTATGCAGTATTTATTAATCACAACTTCCCTCAAACACACAATATGCACCGGAGTGCACACACACATCCACAGTAGTAGTATGGTTATCAAGACTGATGATGAACAGACCCAGAGTGAGTTACCAGGCATGAGTGGAAGGGAGTGAGCGAGAACCAGGATCCGTTATTCAGGCTTGGGTCAATGGCAGGCAGCAATGATCAGAGTCCGTATAACAGGCGTGGTTCGTGGACAGGCAGAGAAAGAGTCAGAGTCCATATAACAAGCGTGGGTCGTGGGCAGGCAGAAGGCGAAGCAAAGTAAGAGACAGGCTGGAGTCGTGCACAGGAGATCAGGCTGGAGATAACGCTCAGAAATGCTGGCCGGGGCTAAACAAGACTTCGCACTGAACGAGTGTTTGAGTGCGGCTTATAAGAGGTACGTGGGTCATTAGCCAGATTCCAATCAGGTTTATGCGCAATCAGTGTAGATGGATGACGTAATGCTAAAAGTTCGGAGATGGTGGCCTCTGCTGGCCAGCGAGGGGAGTTACTGGGACAGAGTCGGTGACAGCGTTAATAACTCCGTAAGTAACCATGTTCCTTATCATTGTAGATATGTTTGATTGAGTGTCATTGTGTATTTTGCTTTAAATTTTCACCTTAAGGAAAAATATTACATGTGTAAACCTTTCCTGCTTTGTCTCATTGTTGTGTTAGAAATAGCAGGGGAGATTCACTTATTACTCCAGGGCAAAATAATATTAGTTTCGGGGTGAACTCCTGTTTCTTTTCGTTGCAGCTGATGAATGAAAGAGGACACATGTAAATTGGTCCAAAATATTTACTACTTTCCGTGTGGTACAACAAATCACTTATTAAAGAGGGAACATCACAGAAAATAGTCTCATTGTGAAAAAAACGCTACTCTTCTCTCTCTCCCTCTCCGCTTCACACACACCCCAAACTGCAGCCCAGTCCCTTAAAGGACACGCACATTTTATAACTAGTGTAAACATAACGGTTGTTTGTAATCTGATCATTTTTTATTATCAACACGTTGCTTGCCATGTGTTGTTGATGTAAGATTGTATTATATTTGATCGGAATATTCATATTGGTTATAACGAACGCGCGTGAGAGCACACCACGCACGCACGCACGCACGCACGCACGCGCGCGCACACACACACACACACACACACACGCACACACACACACACACATTGGAGCACGGGGGAGAGGTGAGAGGTAAATCCAGTTAAAGGGGCTCCCAACTAGCCACTTATTCTGTCTTTATATTCTGCTCTGTGTTTGTCATAAAGTCAGCTCAATGAAGGTTTTGTATCAAAATCTGACTCTGATGGCAACTCTGCCTCTACAGTTAAGTGAAACTCACAGCGGTTTATCATAAACTTTTGACAGCAAGAACGAGCGCAGAAGCGGCTGTATTTAGCTGTTCACTGGTACGGTGCCTCTACACTGTCAAAACACCTCTAAAAAAGACTTTTTCAGACATGACATATTTGTACGTGTACATCACTGTTATTCAAGACGATTTGAGCTGGTTTCAGTCCTTAGCTCTTTCATTTTCATTTTATTTAAATTGATTTAACTTGCTTTTTAATTAAATCCCATTTTGTTATTTAACCTATTATTTTTATGTAACGGTCAAGTTGCATGTTAATTTACTATGAAGAAAAAGAAAAAAAAAATTTGCATGCTGATTTATGTGTAATTGTTAATATAGGTCTATAATCACCTTGCAATTTTTAAGTTATAACTTTTTTGCTTTGAGTATAGACTATTTGATTCATAAGAGCAGTTCAATCTTTTATGAAGTAGGGCTGTAACGATACACGATATAAAATCGAAATCGCGACACTCAGATCTACGATCCGGTGTCGCGGTGTGATAAGGGAGAATCGCGACACACCCCGTGACTACCTCTTCAATAACGTCACGCGTGCCTGCAAAAGTTGAGCTAATTAACACTTTTTTTCGTTCGACATTACAAGCACTGCTCCGTTTAAGCCCTCGCAATATTTAGCCGGGAGAGCTCGCACTGAGCTCTTAGTAAGGGACCGTCTGAATGTCAGGAATATCAAAAACAAAACCAACTTAACCCCGCTTGACAACGGACAACGCCAGAAACATTGCCAATGCTGTCAAAGCGGCCGGATTTTCAGCGCATATACGATGATTTGCTCACACTGT